TAGTTTATCTTTTTAAAATTTTGAAAATAATTTTTAAATAACAAAAAATAAAGAAAATAATAGAATAACTAATAACTTTCGTCACTAAAACAAAATGATGAAACTTAATACATTATGGAAATTATGAACAATAGTTTTTTCAAAAAAAAATAAAAAATAAAAACATTAAATGACAAAAATACCAAACATATTTATTTATTCATTCTTTTATATATATATAATAAACATGATCACTTTGGATTTTAAAAACACACTTATATGTGAAAAAGCAAATTTGTCTTTTGAATTTGAAAACAAATACGACTTGCTCTATGGCTATTTTATATATTCCTTCCATCCCGTAAAATTTGTACAAAACATAATTATAATTTGTTCTTTAGATTTTTTGAAAATTTAAATTTTATAACTACTTCATAGAGAATGATAAAAATCTACCAAAACTAAATATTTTCTTTCTAATTAAAATAGTTACCAAACGGCTAAGAGTATATATATATATATATATATATATATATATGCAAGCAAAAAGTAGCGGTCGCAATGTAGAACATAGCTGATTTTCCCATCTTCTTTTCCTTCTTTTGTAATTTTTGTTCTTGCAATTTTTTTTTAAATTTGTATTTGTATTAATAATGGTTTTGTTTAATTGCATTTTCGATTTTTTTTGAATGACTAAAAAATGCTGCCGGGTGGATCAGATTTGTAGTTGACCAAAACTTGGTATTTGATTTTCAAATACTGAATTTAATGACTTTATGCATAATGTTCAAATATTATTTAAATGAAGAAACTTTGGAGTGATTTTGTGGGGATTAGAATAAAGAAACATGGTTGAAAATAGAGTTTAGAATAGTGGTGGATTTGTACGTACATCTTTGCTGTTCATCTAGTTGATTTTTTAGGCCAAAAATCATTTGTGAAAAATTTAGACTATGGATATTGTCTTTCCTTTTGACATAGGTGTTAAATGGGTATTTGACTCGACATTTGGGGTTTTTTTTTCTCACTTATTTTATATTTATACATAAATTAAAAATAAATTTATTTTAATATATATTTTGAACAACTTGAATTAAAATTAAGAGTTAGTATTATTAACATTCTACTATTTGTTACATAGAGATCAATATCATCTTATTTATTAATTTCTTTTTAATTGTCAAATTATTACTTTTTAAAATAGCCCAACTTTATTTTCTTGAAAAAAAAAATGGAAGAAAATGAATAGATTATGCATATATATATATATATATTAATAAGTTTGTTTTCCTAAAATTAAAAGTATGGTAAAAGAATTTCTTCTGAAAAGTAAGCAGATATAGATGATGTAAATGTTATGGAGATAGTCACTCAATAAATCTTGACGCTACATGTTTAAGGATACCAAATAAAGTTATATACTATAGATTATGAATTATTATTAATACTTATTAACCTTTTTTTCTGACGTAATAACTGTAACATTACAGATTTTTATTAGAAACTAAAAAGCATGTAGCGGAGATAGCAACCCTTTGGCAAGTTAGACCCTATAAAATATGTTATAAAACATATCACAAAGTAAAATATTTAAACTAGTTAAACATAAAACAAAAAACTTGAAATAATAGGTTTTTCCTATTATTTGCGGTATTTTTTTTTTTTTAATTACTTGTAAAGGAACAAACTAAGGTAGGTTATTTTGAATTTGAAATTACAGCGTTAATTTAGGTAATTAAGAAACATATTTCTCAAATTCCCGACTCAGGCTTACAGAAAGCCACAGGCACATTAAATAATGTAAAATCATTTATTACAAAAACAGTGAATTAAGAATAACACCACCTAAAATTAAAATAACTTATTTATTTTTCAAAATAACACCCAAATCTAATAGAAACAATACTATTTTTAAAAAAAAATTAAAAAAAAAGGGGTCAGAATATTGATAAATGGATGAATTTAAATCCATCCCCAGTATCCAAAATCTTCCATCTTCATTGGATAGCTTACATGAAACACAAAGTTATATATTTAAACTTTTGCCTTTCACGACCAAAAATTTCACCTATGCTTGATTATGCCCCTCCACCGGAGAGAAAACTCTTCCATGTAATAAATAAATCAATCAATCATTACATATTTTTACAAAAACAAACAATAACTCAATAGCTACTCGTAAGTTATAAGCATAAATTAAAGAACTTCAGGATGTTTCATAAAAACAAAACAAAACAAAACAAACCAAAACCTCGGCTAATATTTTGAAACCTCGCGTGCAAAGAAATCGGTGCACATGCATGAGAAGAAAAAGAAAAGCTTGGGAAGAAAATTCTGTAAAGTGAGTTAGCGTTTGGACTTTTAACTGCAAATGGCCCGGAATTTGAAGCTGATATAGAGCCAACATTTTCTGAACCCCCTCACCTCGACTGCTACACAGCAACAATCAACAAGGATTGGCAAGCTCTATAGCAGTTGAGGGAGAGAGTTCAGAAGAAATTGGATCTTCAATCCTTAAAGAGAAACAAATGGTGAGAAGGATATTGCGCAGTCATGAGTGATGGGGAGTAAGCTCTCAATCCCCTCCAGAGGCTTCCAACATTCCCATTCTTTGAAGCAATTACAGACTGAGATATTGAAAGCCTCTGAGGGAGATTGGAAGCTTCTCCAACCATTGTAGTAGTATACATGAAATCTTATTCTCAGTGGCTATGCCAAAATTTAGGCCTTCCTCATGGGGTTTATATAGATCGGTTTGCCCACTTGGTGTTGAATTCTGGTGGAATCCTCCGTACAACAGCAACATTTTCTTATCTTGTTACATTATCCCATGCGCAGATAACCAAATCTTAATCAATACCCCGTAAAGTGCTAAGAGATACCATATCAGATATGCACCTTACTGTTCAGTTTCCACTTAAAGATATTTTCTACTGTTGGTTTTCTGTAAAACCACTGGCAAAAGCAATGCATAGTTGTCAACTTTTGGAGAATAATTAATTGACTCATTCCCTATTTCAAAAGTCAAGAGAATGATTATGGGAATTCAACCTTGATAGTTACTAAAACTCATTCTTTAATGGAAAACATGTCTCTTGAAATCTGGAAACAACAAGAGGCCACTACAAACCTTTACATTCTAGACTTGGAATCCATAGCTGAAAGAATAAATCAGAATAGCTAGCCCTGCACGGATACCGCAATTTGGAGAACATCAAGGACATCCATTTTGGTTTTAAATTGACAAGCACAAGCATCTGACCCCTCCAAATATCTAGACGAACCTGTCCAGCAGTTGCCAAACGACATATATAGGCAATTAATCTTTAATCTAATGTCATATTTGCGTAGGCAGAAACATATATATTAATGTATCTATCAGTAAGAAAAAACTCTTACCATTCTCTTGTTGTAATTGTCCCTTCCAAATTCCAAGCAGCCTTTAAAAGCCGATAAGAATTAGGCATGCAGATATATAGTGACACTGCAAATTCTTCTGTTGTAACATCATCCAGATAGATGATGCAATATAAAGTTATGTAGTACCTTGGCTAGAGTAAGCAGCATTAATTTTCAATCAAACCATATACGTTTTGAAATTTTAAATCCCTTCTCTTTACCCTCATAATTAAAAGCTACCATCTGTATCATCAAGCATAGGACTAAAATTCTTTTAAAATCTTATCTTGTTTAGAATATTTAGGGTATCAAACTTTCTCAAAGTATAGCAAAATATTGTTTGATTGTCCTTGTGAATCATGTATAAGGTGTCGACTATGGAATTCGATATGAAAAGTTAGGATCTAAAGTATACAATTGGAGGAGAATTAAAGAGAAGAAAGTTATTTAACGTTTCTATCATGCACTTAAAAAAAATGAGGGCAAGAAAATGAAACCCTCTTTTGAGACTATTTTGTTTCTTTTATCTCATGTTTTCAATGAGTCCGATCATGGAACTATTGTTGGCCCTGAGTTGTTTTAAGTCTTTTTGTTCCTTCAAATTTCCAACCTTCCCCCTGGTTTTCTAGCTTGCATGTTTTTCAGCATTGTTCCATAAATTTGCAAAACTTAATTACTATTAATTGCAGTTGGGAGATCAAAGAGCTAGAGGTGAAGATCATGCACTGTTAAATTGGTAATCTGTACTTGTAGGACTCATCTGATGCAGCACGATTTGTAGCAACTTATGCGCCTACTTTTGGAGAAAATAGGCTAATCCAAACAAAAAAGTGAAAATTTCGTGTCTTTCATCTACTCCTTACGAGCATCAAATCATCAACGGCTCTCTTGATAAGTACCAAGTTGGAGAAAATCCATCAACATCCAAGGATTGGATTCCCAAGAGATGAACATTCCATCTAATCACATGTTATGTCATTGGGTTTGGCTCAATATATATTCCAGCCCTTTATTCCCCACTTTTATGTCCTCCGTTGATATATAAACGAGAAGCATCACTACATCAAAAGTCAATTTTTTCATTATAATGAACATAAAACATTCATGGGTTTCAAGAAACAAACTGCCTTATTACATTGTTAGGCTTAGTTCTCCAATTGGACAAAGTGCCTTTCTAACATCAATGAGTGTTTTTCGTATGAAATACTAACAATCAAAAGCTTAAAATGTAAGAGATGGGCTTTCAGACAATGTCCAGATCTAAGCATGAGTATAGAACCGTTATAATAAAAAGGAAATTGAATCATACTTCTTTTTTTTTCAGTAAATCACACTGTGTTCCAATGGCTGTGAGGGTCACCATAGAGTGCACTTTTATTCGGCGAACCAAAAAGATGCAATCAGCCTGGTTTGGAGCCAATCTTATAAATGGAGAAACTTTAACAATGCAAGAGTCTAGAGCTATTTTGCTATTTAATCATGCATTTTAGTCCAAATAGTGAAATGGCACCGTAATGCAAGCCTGTTGAAAGGTTAACAAGGTCTACATGCTAACTGAAAAGGTAGCAAATCCCACCCGTTGATAATGAAAGCTAGCAAATCCTACAACTTTAAGGAAGTATTCAGGGAGCAATGTGCCTCGATGAAACAACTGGTTGATTTACAGCTGAAGGTGACGAACCCAAAGGAATCAGAGCATTCAAGAATGGAGTTTGTGGACTCAGCCCTGTTGTACAGCTTCTCCCAGCTCGCCTCACCCCTTTGGACTTCCGGTGCTCCTTAGTGGAACTAAAATACGAAAGCACTTCAGGTCTCAACGGGCTCTCTGGTACTTGATGTTTTCTTTTCTTCTTCAATATCTCCCACAATAGCTTGTCATCTTTTGTTTGGTTTTCTTCCTGGCCTGAGAACTTCACAGGGATGGAAAATAGAGATATTATTATCTACTGTTTCTGACAATTCTCACCAGCAAGACTCCATCCAGATGCTTAATGTCCCAGCAAAACCGTCAAATAGCTAAAAGAAAAGAAAATGTTTTCAAGTGAGTTACTTTCAAATGTTTTTCCTCGAGTCAAGTTGACCCTACTGCACATGATTATTTGGAGTTCGAGTGAAACCACGGAACAATGACACCCACATACAAGAGCTTTGATCATGTGTTAGATACCAAGGCACGTTTAATGGTCTCGGTGATTATTCAAACAGATTTGAAGCAGAAACTAGGGAGTCAAACCTTTTGTTTTAAGGAGACAAAAACTGGTTGTTAGAATGAACAGCTGACGGAAACAACTAATTTTAACATTCTTAGAATTTCTTAACTCCTCATTGACTCATTTCAGTATAATGTCAAAGAAACAATAAAGCATGCTCCCAGGTTGTGTGTGTATTTGTAAAGACACCCAAGGACTTCGTTTTCCTTCTCATTTAAAATGATAACTATGGTTGCAGTAGAAAAAAATAATAATAATAAATTTTTACCATCCTTTCTAAACGAAATAGCTGCAGAGTGATCAGTTGGAGTGGCTAAAGCCGGCACCTCCCTCATTAAGTTTTCTAGCAAAACCACTACATGTTTACACACAAGTGAAAGACTGTGTGTGTCAACTTTCGCTGATTCTATGTGCCAGCTTCTACACCATATCAGTGCTCGTGATCAAAACAGGAAAGCAATGCTTCCTTGTTCATACATGTGACTTAGTCAATTCAAATCAAATGCTCGAGAATAAAGGATGAATGAGTCAAGCGAATGTACCTTTTGGGAAAATGAAGATTTTATAAGCCCTCTTTTGGCTTCAGAAAGGGAGCGCAGCTGTTCCTTCATTTTCCTCACTCTTTCTATTGTTTCATTCAGCTTGCATGCAGCTTCAATCTTCCCCTCTTCAGCCAGTCTCACTTTCTTCCTTGCATCCTCCAACTCAACCCTGCCATCTTTCATCTTTTTTTCCATCTCATCCACCATGGCCAATAAGCGCATGCACGTTCCATTCTTCATATCATCCTTGAGGCCCTTAACATATTCCACCATAGGATTACACATTTGTTGTGATAATCCCTGTATTAGGTCCTCCACACCATCCTTTACTGATCCAAGCACTGTAATTACATGGTGGAATATGGCTTGGAGAAGATTTACTGTGATGACAACAGTGTCATGGTTTTCACTGTCAAGGGTGGACACTAAACATATGGATTTCTGAAAGAATGTTTTGAGGAAGCCATGGTGGTTATCAAGGTTCTGGAGGATTTCATCTTGGCTCGAATTAACATGGGTTTCAATTTGTCTAAGGAGTTTGACAAGTTGTGTAAATTGCATCTTTCGTTTTTCTACTAGTTCTTTGCCAGCTATGGCAGCTCTAGCAGCAAAATTTTCTCCCTGCAAACAGGGAATATTGGTTGAGTGTAAATTCAAGGCGAATCCCAACAGTCAAATTTGCCACTAGCATTTTCTATGGTTCGGACACAGCAACACGCAACTCTGTTTTCCATGGTTAACTTATAAAGTTTCACGGGCAGATATGCTCAAGTTGATCATGCAACAGCATCACACAAGTTCTAGTTGCAAAGTCGTAGTCCTTTGAGATTGAAAAGGCAAAGTTTAGGACCAGATAACATGGGAGAATTTTCATCTATATTATGCGGGTGCACGCCCAGAAGCTTCAGCCTGAATTTACTCCATAATTATTGAAATTTCATATACTCTAAAGAAAACTGTAGGCCAGCATCATCGTTTTACAATTTTTACTTGCAGAAAAAGGGGGATTATAAGCTCTATTCTGTGGTCATATCCCCAAATTCAAACAGCCCAACCCAAGTTGGATGATTATCCAGCAAAAGAATCATCCTAGTATATATGAATATTGGAGTTCAATAGTATCATCCTACTACGAATAACATTTAAGCCAAAAAAGGTAGGAAGCTTAACTCTATCACTCTAGTATTTATTAATACAGTCTACCACACTAAGATAACAGGCAAAAGAGCTCATGACTACATATACAAGCCTTTTCTACTGCTATAAGAAACTCTTGTGTTTAACATTTACAACTTAAAAGCAAATGTCATATGCAGATAGGTTCAAGTTTTTCATGAAACAGCATTATAGTTGTTTCTACTAGCAAATTGCAACTCATCCTCTGAGATTGTAAAATCAATGGGAAAATTTTGCTCATACGCATGCACACGCACACAACATGGACGCAAACCAAATGTTTGATTATCGAATTAAGTTTAACAGTATCATCCTACTAAGAACATGAAATTTGAACAGGTTTCAACTTAATAAAACAAAAGCGAAAAAGGCCAAATGTACTCAATCCTATCAGCAGATTCACACGGTTGGAAATTATTTAGATAATTAATCAGGAAAAGGATTGAAAAAATTATAATCTAATAGATAAGTAAATCTTAACATTCAAAAAATAAAAAATTTATACCTCAAATGCACTAATCTGACCATTTCGATCTCTGGCTCCACCAGGAACTGATCCATTCCTCTGCCAAACAGATTTAACTAATCGATTAAAAATCAATAACCTTAAAAATAAAAAAATAAAAAGAGAGAGCACGAATACAGGATTTGATTACGTGATTAAGATCATCATCAATTATAATTGTACTGAACCTTCCTTCATTAACCATTTCCACAGTTTTTAAACCAACAAGCTTCATCAACGGAATCGCCAAAGAGGCAAACACTTCTTCTGCCTACAAAATCAATGCAATTTAGTTACAACATCGAAGAAGCAAAGGGAGAAACTGATAGTGTTCAAACGATTTACTTGAAGCAAACCGGTGTTGATTTGAGACTTCAGCTGCTGATATGAGATCTTCAATTGCTCATGACGATAGACTAGCTTTGTGAACTTTGAGTGGAGTTCCGCCGTTGACGGTGGAGGCGAGATCAGAGATCTACGGTGGCCGATTGCCATTTTGGCGGGACAGAGTTTACTATAAGAGTTCTTTTAATTTTAAAATTTGGCAATTTTTTAAAATGAATAGTAAATCATGAAGTGCACGGAATTCAATTTAAGAGAATGAAACGATCCAATTCAATAAAGACACGTGTTTGGTAACTCTCGAAAATTCATAGCTAATAACCAATCGGTTCCTCATCTATTGTGAAGATTCCAAATAAATCATTCTATTATGAATTCTTGCAATTATACCACCTAGTCATAATTTTAGCCTAGTAAGATTTCCATAAGGCTCTTCTTTGACAAAATACATATACAAAAATTTTTAGTTCAACGATTTAATGATAAAAAAATAAAATAAAAGAGAGAAATATTGAAATGATTGATGAAGAGATTATGTGAGCTATAGTATAAAACTCATTATATTTTGTTTTATTACTAAAAAAAAAAAAATAACAATCAGATTGTTAAGTTGTCGATTGATGTTGTGTTGATTTTAAATTTAATTATTACAATACAAACTTTTTTTAACTTTAAAATCATGATATCAACTTGATTCTAAAATTATAAAATAGAAGAAAAATTAAAATTTTATTAACATAAGGTGTTGTTTGGTAATCGGGAATAAAGTGGTAGGAATGAGAATGAAAGTTTTATTCTCATATTGTAATTGTTTGGTTAAAAGAAATAAAGTGGGAATGGGAATGAAGAGTGAGAATGAAAATGAAAATTTACATACAACTTCATTCTCATATAAGATGTGGGAATAAAAATAAGGAATAGGAATGAAATTTTTTTTTCAAAATAATAATATATTTTATTTATTTATTGTCTATTAACTACTTTTACAATCATCGCCACCACCATCATTACAACCACCACCTCAACTACTACCCCCACCACCACCGTCATAATCACCACCACCACTCGTCACCTTTATTATTTTTATAATTATTATAGTTTGATAAAATTATTTTTTTAATCATTATTTTTATTTGTATAAAAAATCGGATATTAAAAAATTTAAATTGCATTCCGATTCCTCAATAGTATTCCAAACACAGTATGAGAATATAAATGTCAATCTAATTCCTTAATTTTCATTTCAATTTTTACATTCTTATTCGTACTATTTTATTCCCGATTAACAACGGCGCCTAAGTTGTTTGAAAACACATAATTTAATAAAAATTGAATTTCATCCAAATAAGTTGTCATTTGATATTGTCATTAGAGTAGTTTTTATTCCAACCATCACTCGAACATGTTTGTTGAAGCTAAATTTTAGCTTTTGAAGTTATAGATCTTGTTTCAAAAAATTGAAACCAGTATTTTTATAAAAAAAAAAAGTATGGAAATGATATTTAGGGGATTGTTTAGAGGAAAAAAACAGTCACTAATTTTATTCAATTACACAATTTCATCAAACACTTGTATATATTAACTTTTCTTGTATTTGGAAAAAATTGTGTCCATTTCAATTTTAATTATTCATTTTTGTATAGTAGTAAATATTTCAATCAATTTATCTTGGATTTTTTTAATTTTATGATTTTACATTGCATTTGATTGATCCCTCTATTTACACTAATTGTAACGGTTATTTTTTCTTTTTAAAGAACACATCGATAATTTTTTTAACTATATTACTTGTTGACAAATAACAAAAATAAAATGATAAAATTAGTATTTTAAAAAGAGATAAAAAAAAATTAATTCTATCAATTAAAATTCTATCACCTCAAAGTTAACATCAACACAAGTGAATTCATTATCGGATTCAATTTTGCATAGACTTGGTTCTATAGATGTTAGTTTGAGCTATAGGAATGATAGTAAGGTACTATAATTGCAAAATTATAGCTTATAAACTGACTTGAAATCACCATCGTAGTCGAAGAACTTTTCTAAATTAAATTTTTTTAAAACAAAAAAAAAAAAAGAGGGGGGGTGGGGTTGGGACAACCAAACTTTCCCGACAAGCAAAATGGTCAACCTCACAAGTCACGACCCCAAAAGACGACCATGGTCGTTGGAAAATTCTACAATTGCTTGCACATGGTGGTTGGAAAGATCATTGCCTGACATGTGTCAAAAGTGATTTTGAAGGGTCTAAATGCTTTTCGTTACCACGTGCTCTCCCATAGACAAACATGTTCTCCAATCCCAATTACCATACAGCTCTTATGTCGTATGTATGTTTTTTTTTTTTTTTTTGTAAAAAATCCAAAAAATAGGGATTTTGGGGAGTTGATGGCACTATTAGGTTGTAACTTGGCCACATTTTCAGAGTCCGGTAGATTTTCGAATTTGACGCATAGCGTGCAAGATGCAATTTGGTCTTTGAACTTTCTGGTCCTATAAGTTTATATACTAATCATTATGGTGCTCAAACTTTCAATTGCTTTAGATATCCCTTTAATCTAAATTTTTATGTTACCAAAATAAAATTGATTGTTGTATGTGTCATTTTTATGCTTATTTATTACGATAAGAGTTGATTTGAAGATATATTTATTTTAAGTTTAAGTGGTGGCTTAATATTAATTAAGGGTTGTTTTGCTAATCTTGTAGATATAGGACCAAAGAGCTTATAGTCCAATGGCAAGTGGTATATTGCAAGAGATTACTAGTTTAAATTCTAAAAGATTAGTTCTGTTAAAAGTCTTAGGTGTGTATGTGTGTTAGGTGTGTGAGTTATATACATAAAAAATAAATAAATAAATAAATAATCTTTGAAGAAAGATGATCTTTTAGATATAGGGACTATTTTGATTTTATGGTGATTCAAAAATAATTTTGATTTGGTTTTTGATTGTTTTTTTCCTGATAGGTGATGGATATTTTTATCTTGAAGTTATATCTTTATTTTTTATAATTTCTAATATTATTTTCCATTTATTTTAGACTTGTTTCGTTTATAGATATATATTGAAAAATGAGTTTGTTTAATAATTTAAATTTTCAATTTCAGTTGTTTTATGTAATTAAGTGTAGTCACTAGATATGCATATTTTTCTTTATACTAGTTTAATTTTATTTTAATATTTTAAAATTTAATCATGGTTTTTATTATAGGTTTTTGCAAAACCTTATTGTTATCCAATTATAAATTATCACACTACTTTCTTAATGGTCAAATTTAATTTTCAAACCTAAAAGATATAACATAGTTATTAATATTTATTTTATTCAAATAGACTACTAATAATAATATACATCTTATAGTATATTGAATTTTAATATAAGAAATTTATTTTAAGTTAGGAAAGGTTAAAATTAACTTGGTTGAAATGATATATATATATATATATATATATATATATATATATATATATATATATATATAAGATGGTTATCAAAAAAATAAAATGAGGAAAATTAAAAAGAAAAAAAACATAAAAAAAAGTAAGAAAAAAAGTTGCTCATTCTGCACTTTTTAATTTACTTTAGAATTTCTTCTTTCAATTCACAGTTTTATTAGTACAAATAATTTTTTTCAAGTATTTAAATATTGAATTATACTAAAGAAATAAATATTCGGTAATGAAAAAAATCTTTAATCAAAATAAATAATAATATATCATATAACTTGTATCAAAGGAAATAAATTCTAAAACAAAAATTTGTAAGGAAAGCAACTACATTTTCATATCTTTAACTTCTCATTTCAATAAATAAATAAATAACATAATACAAAGCTTTTTGTTCTTCTTTTTACCTTATAAGTTTCTCTTTTTTTTTCCATGTCTATTTTATACATACACAAAATATGTCATACATCTCATTCTATCATTTTTCACCAAATTATTATTTAAAAATTCACTAATTAAAATAAATAATAATTTATCTTATAATTTATAACAATGGACAAAATTTTAAAATAAAAACACTTAAATTTTGGAGAAAAAGCTATATTGTCGTATCTTTAACTTAATATTTAAATATAAAAAACTTAGATTTTTATATGCCTTTAACTTATGAGGTCATGTTTAGTATGCTCTTAGGAGAAATTATTATTACATGGACTTGTTCCACCATCTAAGATTGTGCACAAAACTAGTATTTTTATTACCTATAATATTTTCATCTAAAAATTTGAATATTTTTTTCTTTTTTAAAAAAAATTATTTGGGTAAGCTCCGAATAAAACGATTTATATTTTCAATATTTTTTATTTATAATTCGTAGTTATAATTATAAATTTCAAAAAATATTAGTATACTTTTATTTTGAAAAAGCTCAACCATGTGATCGAGTATGTTCAGAGAATTGATTTTCACTGGAGAATAATTTACTTAACCTCGAGTAAAGATGTAAAATACATATTTCTTTTTAGTATAATTCAAAATTTAGATTCTCGGAGAAATTGCTTTTTGTGTTGAAAAACGGAGTTGAATGAAGAAACAGCACATTATAATAGAAAAATTGCAAAATAGATAATCATTTTTTGTCTTATATTTTTCATGTTTTTTTAATTCTCCTTTTAATTTATCATATTAATCTTATGCATACAAACTGCAATACATATACATAGAGAGAGAGAGACAGAGGATGTATATGATCGATATGAAAAGAAAAAAGTAGAAAAAAAAACATGAAAATGCTAGATAGAAAATGGTTAAAAAATTTGTAGTTTTTTATGGTCTAATTTGTAGTTTTTTCTTACAATCAATAGTTTTAATTAAAAAAATTTTAATTTTTCCAAGTATCCTAGCATTGGATTATACAAATGATATTCATATTTTGTATCTTTAACACCTTGTAATTTTTAGTCTTAACCATTTCAACTCACGACATTACTAAATACAATATCGAAAGAGTTAAGACACATAAAAACTAAGTTTTTTTATTGTAACATGAAGTTAAAAATATGAAAATATAGTTTTTTCTTTGAAATTTCTTTTTTTTTTTTTAATTTTTGTCCATTGGTATCATTATTTATTTAAATAACGAATTTATACATAATAATTTGATAGAAGCAATTGAATGAGATATATGACATATTTTATGCA